TTTTAAATACATGTGATACATAAATATATGCTTTGCAGATGTAGATTTCTGTATTCCCTCGTACAAAAACCGTCTGCTGCACAGAGAGAAAAATACAACAAAATATTATTCAACATTGTCACGGAAATGAAAAAGAGAGAAATAGCATTATTGATTTATCTGTTGCTGTTTTAATCTATCTATTGTAAGCGGCAGCAATGTAACAAATTCTTTAGACAATTTTATAAATTCGTATTTTTCTAACTTCTTCTGCTTTTCAGGATGCTTATCGTAATAATTAACAACAAAACTGTAAGCATCAACGCTATTCTGCATATTTTCTATTTTTTGTTGTACGTCAGAAGTTATAATCTTATTATACAATCTTCCCACATGGAAGTAAGTATACAATGCTGGATACAGCAAGTCGTCCGAGAAGGATTCGACTCCATTTTCAGATTTACTCATCTCTAAAGAATTCAAGTATGACTGATAGTGCTTTATGCTGCTTCTCGCCAAGCGCTCGATCTTTGCTATCACATGCACCGTCGGCCTTTCATTGGATGCTTGCAAACGATCAATTTTCAAGTCCAGGATCTCCGAATACGTTTCCGCCAGCTCAATCCAAATTTCCCTACAGACAATTCGGTAAAATCGCGAACACAATCCCTCAATTACTTCCTCCAGAATGTCTATCCGTCGTTTGTGCATTCTCGCCTGCCTGTCTTCATTGTCTTCGAAGAACGCCAAATATTTGTACGCTTGAGAAAGGTCTTGGATAATCCAGGCATAATCCGACGCATGATTCTCGAAAGTGTAATATTCCTTCGCCTTATCCAACCATTTCCGAACATTCAAGAACACTGGTCTAGCATCATTAAAATCCAATAAATACATATCTGTAACTTCATTGGTGATCGATTCTAATTCTGGTTCTAGATCTACAAATCTTGGATCCTCCATGGTTTCAATCTGAGAATATTTATAAACTTCATCAACAACTTTTGCAGGCTTTAAATCCTGATCCTCTTCCTCGGCCTTTTTCATTAATCTTTCTTTAGATGCTCCCAGGAGAGCAATACCGTACTTCGCCCAACATCTAGCGATATTTGCTGATCCATGATCATAATTTTCGTATTGCGCAGCAATGATCTCACTGGTTTCCTTAGTGCCTTTTGCCTTCAAGATTTCAGAGTATTTCTCCAATATACAGGACGCTGCAGCTAGATGATGCCTCGCTTGTGGAAATTTGTCTTGTTCTATGAAATATTGAGATATTGCTGCGGCATTTAAAGCCCAATCGACATAATCCAGATCTTGTGTTATTTTATTTTGACTTAATTGCTTACTCAATGTTCTGTGACAATACAGAGCAAAATTACACTTATCATCTAACTCGCGACAGACTTGTGCTAAATAATATAGAGTCAATGTGTGAAGTTTCTCGAGAATACTTTTTGCGCACAGATTTCCTTCTATCTCCTCAATACCCATAATGGACACCATATGAACAGGATCGAGTCTAATATCTTCTATAAACTTAATATATAAGTCTTCCGCTTGCTTTAGAAAGTCTTTAGCTTCCTCATATGAACCTCGTTGCGCATAAATTAGTCCTAATTGATTATTTCCGCTTATAGCTGGTAAAATGCCTTCAGATGTCAATTTGCTGTCTTCCAACAAGTCAATACATTTTTTATAACATTCAGTAGCAAATCCTGTATCTTCCATGTCAGCTCGTAATATACCTATGTTCAAATAAGTTATCGCAGCTGCCACAGTGCAGAGAGTTTCTTTACAGTGCGTAAGTGCTTCTAGTATCTCCATTAGAATCTCCACAGCTTTAGATTTTTTCTCGTAAAGCTTATTTGGGTCGCTCTTTGCCTCACGTTCCAATAATTGCTGAACCTCCTGATATTTTTCCTTCACCCATGATCCTGGATGATTAACTCTTTCCAAACATTCCATTCTGTCAAAATAATTCAACATTAATATGCTTTCAGTATTAAATTTATCTTTTATACAGTAGCTGTGCATTTTGCGAGTTATCTCTGTGTCTAGATTCAATGAATGTCAACTCTAGACTTCATCCTCTTCTCCTCCTATTCTTAAAAAATATAACAAAAGTAATTCTTCAGAGGAACAGATCAATCAAACCAGGATAATGTAAATTCATAAAATTAACAAGATTATAAATTTTCTACAAGTTTTCCGCTACCTTTGCATTGTGGATTTTTTAAATACCTTATCGAATTTTATATTGCTCCTAATCTTATTGCTATCATTAATCACATCATTATACAGGCTACAGACTATGAATACTACAATTCAATACTGAATACTATAATTTAAAATCTCAATCTGAAGAAGAAAAACAAAATTACGATATAAGATTCCCTTGCCCTAATGTATATAATATATAAATTATAATATATAAATTTCAATATTGACGAAATGTTGATATTGTAATAGAACTAGAGATAATTTACGAAATACATAACTTCTGTATACAAAGCATCCATGGAAACCTCGAAAGCATTACTTTATATCTTTTGTTTTCTTGTTCAGCACTTGATTTCTTCAACAATTAGAGATTTCCACTAGAATTGAATTAAATCTATTAGAGATATCCAACATAGACTAACTATTAGCAACTTAGAACCATATAATTTGCAGTCGGTACCTCCTAAAAATATACAAGTGTGAAATAACAGATATAAATGTTTTCATATAAAAAAAAACAGTGGTTTATTATTTTCTAACCTTATCAAATTATTTACATCTTTGTTGTGTTATAATAGTCAATCAAAATTGCTAGGATTAAATTAAATCTGTCAGAAATATTCAGAATCATAGACACTATAGACTAACTATTAGCAAGTTAAAATCATACGATATGCGGTTATTGCTTCTTAAAAAATATGATAATATAAATGTTTTCACTTGCGTTTTCATATGTAAAAACAGTGGATTATTATTATCCTCTAATCTTTCCAAATTATTTGTATCGCTGTCGTGTTAATAGTCAAAATCACTCTTAAGTAAAGTCTTTCGTCCTAAAAATTCAGACGAATCTCGGATCGTCATTGATCGTCGTCGAGATATGTCGAATATACAGAGTGTAGAAATTACAATATCGATCGCCAGTAACGATATCTCTTTAGTGACATTCGTTCCGCATGGCGTGGCGAGCGTGCATCCCTCACGAAGAGTCGCAGCTGATCGTTTCGCCGTCGCGGTCGGTGTTTATCTGTTGCGAGTATATTGCTTTAATTTTTCCTCTCCCCTTGCTTCACCGTCGGCATTTTCGCGGCAGTTCCTCGGAGAGGACTGCTTGTGTGCGTGCGACGTTGTCTTCGTCGTCGTTGTCATCGTCGTCGTTCTGTGTCAGTGCCATATGTACCTCGCGCGGTGTGCACGACGATCGAGATGTGGGTGAAGCCGCAAGAAGTGCTGCTCGCCAATGCATTCTGGTAAAATCGCGCCTAACAACGTTTGTATTCCTTTTAGCTGAACTCCTTGAGCGAAAAAATACTAGTATATCACTTTATCTTCGTTATTAAATGATAGGATAAAATAATACTTGGAGGCACTCGGGGTAGTGTTTTCAAATGCTGTCTCTTGCACGGGTCAGTTTTCCTCCTTTCTTCAAGCGAAGAAGTTCAGCCGAAAAGAACAAGGCTTCTTGTTGTCATCGATTGACGACGATGATTTCCGAGATGCTACACCGCGATGAATTGAACTCCAATTCCAGCGGTCGCAACCGGTCTCGAAGACGACTCGTCATTTGTCAAGTCGCAGTCGGTCGCGCGGAATGTTTACATTCGTGTCGGAGACAGCTGACGAGGAAGTGCCGTTCTCTCGACCGCGGGAGGTGACTTTATCGTTACGGTGATTCCATCATGGTCTTTATCGCGCCGCGATTTCAATAACAACTTCTTGACATCGCGTCATTTCAACTGCGGAATAGCGTTTATCAGTACCAACGTCATAACGCGACAAAATTACCGTTGTTAACGCATTAAGCAACGTACAGTATATAACGAACGCGAAAACGCTTAGTAAAATGTATATAAAAATACGACGCGAATGTCTGGTCAGGTTCGATAAGCGGCGATCGTGATATCAGTGACACGATAAGCGAGGATTCTTTGACGCTAATTTGACATGCTTTCAATATACACAATAATGGCTAGAAATAACAATAAATATTAAAGGAAAAAGATATTGATAATGGCAATTTATGAAAAATCTTAGCGATAAAATAATTCATATTTCTTTAATTTTTCAAACTTTTTATTTATATTTAAATTAAACAAATATATTTTCTTCAATTTTTTTTAGTTGAATTTATCATATTTGAGTCTATTTACTGATTTTTTGATGTTATTTTAAATTTATATTATTATTTTATATTTATGTTTATTATATATTTGTTGAAGAACTATTTTAATTATTCAAAAATTATTTATTTTGAAAAATATTTTCTTTCTAGATATTTATAATATGTATAATTCTGTTGTATCGTTTTATAATATAGGATTACTGAACAAGCAACTGTATATTTCGTACTGCAACGTCGTAAAGGACATGGAAAAACGAAAGGTCTTACCTCCATATTGGTGGGTACATTGGACAGTGTTTTCGATACCAAACCACCACCCTTTAGAATTCTTCATCAGACGCCATCATCGGAAGTTTATTGGGGTATTGGATTATAATTGAAATAATTTAAGATTCTAATATAAGATATATATACATATATATAGAATGTAAAATATATACATATATATTTTTTAAAGAAAGAAAGAAAAGAAAGGAGAAAAAAGCGAATTGGAAATCATTTTTATCTACAGATATATACATTTAATTAAATTATGCAATTATGCTTATTATAATTATTACATATTAATTTTCTTGCTCATATTATGCATTTAAAAAGATGTAAAGCCAAGGACAATGAATATATGTGTGAGTATTGCTTTAATAGTAGTGATAGTAGCACACTAACTGATAACAGTGCATATTAGCATAAATAATTGTCAGCTGTGTACGACAAATGCCAAGGGAACATAAGAATGTTATTCAATGCTTTCACCTACAATTTTATGCAACTACAATCTGAAAAAAATTACAAGGCTTATTAGGTTTTATATTAATTAAATCTCTGAAGTAGAGTTTAAATTTGTAATGTGTTCTTTTACATTTGAAACTTACAGAAGTGGCATGTTCCTTGACTCGCGAGGAAATTTTGCAGGATTGGGAATGGCTCCACTCGAATTTAATGGCTACGCTTACGTCGTTCGATACCGAGGAGGAGATAACGGAATTCGTTTGCTGCAAAATTCAATCTATAATAGCAAATAGCATCCCGGATTCTCAGTTTGCAGATGGTAGAATTATTAATCATTATTTATATTGTAAAAACATTTATGAAACATTTATGCTTTAATTAAATGTTGATATTACAGAAGAAGACCCAGAATCTTTTAAAACTGTGTCTTTTAAATTTCACCAATTGTTCAATATACCCAAAGAGGACAAATTGGTCAATTATTATTCATGCAGGTTTTTAAAATTTAAATATATAAAGATTACATAAAAATATAATATTAAAAACATTTAAGAAAGTAATCATAAGATGGCTGTTTTTTTTTTTTAGTTACTGGAAATCACGATTACCTAGACAAGGATGGCTCTATTTATCTGTAAACCACATGTGCTTTTATGCCTATATACTGGCGAGAGAAACGAAATTGACCATAAGATGGACAGACATTACGGAATTGAACAAAACTAATTCTCTTATAGTTCCAGATAGTATACGTGTTGTAACACGTGACAATAAAGAGGTATATGTTAATGTGTACACGTACGTTTCTATGTATTATTATTATCGACACATGTCATGATACATTTCATATATTTCAATCAATTCTTAACATTTAATTTTTTCATTTGTGTTATAGCATTATTTTTCTATGTTTATACATAAATCAGAAACATATTCGTTAATGGAACAACTGACCAATATTGCTATGAAAAGGTACTAAAGTTTACTAAAATATAGCATATAGAAGATATTTAAAGAATATTTTTGCATTTTATGTATTAATTTATCACAAAATGATTTTTTCACTTTTTTATAGACTTATTGATGAAAAAAGTGGATTTAATGAGGATAGAGACTTATTGAATAAATTAAGGTATATTGATATATGATTATATTATTTTTTAGAAAATTATGCAGAAATAAACACTAAATTAATTTTTAATTTAGCAAAAATGTACCTAAGAAGCCATCTTTCTTGAAGAGAGATTTGGATGCACGAGCACATTCAGAAACATACAGGCTTCAATTTAGATTGCCAGGAACCGAGAAATTAGATGGTAGCATTGATGCTACTTTATGGACTCCATACAATAAAAGATATGTTTGGGGAAAGATATACTTATCTCAAAATTATCTTTGTTTTGAAAGTAGGGTAAGCATAATATTATATTAAAACTAATGAATTCCTTAAATGTGTGTAAAATTTATTTATTACTTGTATCTATTTAGGTAAGAAGACAAGTCAGTTTAGTTATACCTCTAAGAGAAGTAACACTCGTTGAATCGGCGGAAAATCAGTCCAGCACAGGAGCAGATAAGTCAATATTAATCACAACGGCGCGTTCATCATTTCTATTCGCCCAAATACATGATAGAGATTTCGTGGTGCAAAAAATCTCTGAGCTCTTGTCAAAGTCTAAACTTAATTATATGTATGTTTGCGTTATATTTTCTAGTAGATATAAAATATAATATATAATATATGCAATAACATAAAATTGTAATCTTGTTATAGAACGAGAGAGAATGTATGTTTGCCGAATATGAGTAACAATTGCGAGGAAATAAAGCTTACAGAACAATGGAAACCACAACCGCCACTGATGATACTTTTCAAGGCCCCATTGACTCCCGAAGCCGCGTTGAAACAAGAAGCTAAAGAAAAGCAATGGGAACTTCATTTTGCAGAATATGGGAGAGGAATTACTATGTACAGAACTACGGAAACTACGAAACTCGTTATTCAAGGAATACCTCAATCTCTCAGAGGAGAAGTTTGGCTCACCTTTTCTGGTAATATATATAAATGATACATATAATCATAAATAATATTGAGATTTAATACATAAAATAATATTGTGTCTAGGTGCTTTAAATGAGAAGGCAATGAATCCAGATTTGTATAAATCATTAGTCGAACAATCTCTTGGTAAATCATGTCAAGCAAATGAGGAAATCGAAAGGGATTTGCATAGATCGTTACCGGAACATCCGGCTTTTCAATCGGATACTGGAATCAGTGCGTTACGAAGGGTACTATCTGCCTATGCATGGCGAAATCCTCAGATAGGCAAGTCTAATAATCTTTTTTGTTTGTAACATAGCTATTTGAAATTCTTACTAATCGAATTTTTTTAATTATAATAAATACAATTTTTTGTTATATCATTTTATTGAATATCTATTTATCAAAAGCCGATAATTTTAAATGTGTTAAAAATATATAATTAATATTCATCTAAAAATAAATAATTAAAATCATGCTTATTTTTAACAGCATCACGTTAATATAAATGAAATTATTCATAAATATTCTTACAGGTTATTGTCAGGCAATGAATATAGTAGCGTCAGTTCTACTAATTTATTGCTCTGAAGAATCAGCGTTCTGGCAGTTATGTAATGTTTGTGAATCATTACTGCCTGATTACTATGATCGTAGAGTGGTCGGTGCTCTCGTTGACCAAGGTCTTTTAGAGGAACTGGCAGCCGAACATTTGCCAGTGTTACATGCCAAGTTACAGGAGCTTGGCTTAATTAAAGTTATCTCATTATCTTGGTTTTTAACTATATTCTTGAGTGTTATGCCAACCAGTAGCGCTGTAAATATTATGGACTGTTTCTTCTACGATGGGGCAAAAGTTATTTTTCAGGTAACAAACTAAATATAGTAGCTTTATTTTCAATTGTTTTTTTCAATTAATGAGATCTTTCAACAAAAATAATTCTTAATAAATTTTAAAGATTATTATATGGAAAGTTCTTATTGTATAAATTAAATTATATTGTATAAATAAATTTAATTTAACATAAATTTTCTTTTAATTTTGAGAAATTTTTCTTAACAAATTTATTGTATTTTATTTAAATTCATTAACATTTTTTGATTTAATCAAATTACTTGTTACATATAATAGATATGAGATATTTATAATAAATAAATCTATTCTGCTTTATCAGATAGCATTGACTGTATTGGAATGGAATCAAGACAAGTTACTTAATTGTCGCGATGACGGAGAAGCCATGCAACTATTGACAGATTACCTTGGTGGCGTTTATAACGATGAAGGTCCAATATTTCCTAAACCAGTTGATAGTACATTACTCAATAAAGTAAGAATATACATATCTTCTGATCATTTCATGTATTTAATCTGCGACTATTGTAACTGAAATATATTTGCTATTGTAGAGTATATCTGTTCAAACATTAATTTATGAAGCGTATTCAAGATATGGATCTTTAACAATTGGTGGCATAGAAAGATTGCGCCTGAAGCATAGATTGAGAGTAGTTCAAAGCCTCGAAGATGGAATTGAAAAAAACGTAATTAGAAGCGTTATTGTTGATAAATATATGAAAATGGAAGAGTTGCAGGTATTTTAGAATAGTTTTCATATAGACAAATCATAAAAGGAAATTATAAATATTTTAATTATATGTGCTATGTATATAGGAATTGTTAAGTTTAGTGAGAGAAGAGCTAATGAGCCAACGAAAATCCGAACCTGATCGTTATGATCCTACCCAACCGCCGTACGAAGCATATAAAGTAGATTTTGACTTATTTAGAATATTATTTGGTGGTCTGTCTCCGTGGGGAAAATGCACTCAAGCTGAATCTCTTTCTGCGCGACTATTTCGTGTAAGTTCAGTCTTTATAAATAAATTAATCTTAGTTTGATTAATATACATTATAAAATTGTGCATAGTAAAACTAAATTTTAAAAAATCATATTTTACAAGAATTGATTATAAACGAAAACAACATTAATTATATAATTATTTTAATTAAAAAATGTTTTAGTTAATGGACCGTAATCGTGACGGTTTGTTAAACTTCCGAGAACTAGTGCAGGCCATAGGGATGACAGCAACAGCTGATTTGACGCAAAGATTAAAGTTATTATATACGTTGCATTTACCGCCACTTCTTACGCCTGCCGATTTTGAATCTCCAACACATTCAGCAGGTAGATATTCAGCTATATATATGAAAATCGTATTTATATATGTCTCTTTATGTTACATCACTATATAAATTGATTAGATGGAGCCGAAGTGGCGGCAGAAGCTACGGATTTCTTTGATAACATGGAGCAAAGCGTAGCTTCCTTGGAAATGCCAATTAGCATAGCCGAAGAGCCAACTGTAAGCACTTTATCACGATCTACAAGCTTGAATAGCCAACCAGGTGATCAATCATGGGAAGTTCAGAGTATGGGTAGTTTACGTTCAATGATAGCGTCAAAAGACAGTCCATTGGATCTTAAAATTGTGCCAAAAATGTCTCAAGGACATTTTATAGCATTATGGAAAACTCTTTACGACATGTTTCCTGCTCAACCTGAAGAACAGGAAACATATCATTGTATCGCTTCTATAGGTAACGTTTATATTACTGTATTCAAAAATTTTATATTGTAGTAATCTTTAATTATAATTAAATAAAATAATACCTTAATCATAGGTACACTTCTACTCCAATTAGGAGACGTTGGCAAGAAATTCTATATAGAAAAAGAAGAATCTGAAGATAGTTTACTTTTAGCTGCTTCTGCAGCTCAACAAGTTTCTTCAGTTGTCGAAAGGGTATATATTTTTATTTGTACTAACAATCGATATTCTTTATTATAGCAGTAAATTTATAAACTTGATATGTCCTTCTTCTTAGTCACCCGATCGTAATGGAAATCCATCGAGTACAACGTCCTCCGCCGATCCCGATTGGTCGATTACCGTCGAGCAATTTTTGGCATCTGCTTTAACTGGTCAAGCAATAGTTGACTTCTTCAGTAAACGAACCGATCTCATGGAAGCTATGACAACATTGAAAAATCGTAGATTCAATCGTGTTCATTCCTTATCAGACACACCCACTTTAAATGGATGACACACGGTGATTAATATATAAGAAATAAAAATATTATTATATGTCTATTTTTATGCATGGCTGGCTTAGATAAATTGACGAAGGAGAAAATCGAGAATTGCATAAAAGGAATTTATATATTATTATTATTGAAGAATGCGAATTTTTAACTTAAAAAAACGCAATTGCATGAATGGCAATACGTGCAATATGATAGCTATACAGTACATATTCATTTATTACAATACTGATAAGTCGTGTCAAGATTTTTATAATTCTTATTTTCTAAATTTTTCCTATAAATATTCCTATAAATATTCTTTGCGACTGAGATACATACTGCATTGGTTTTAGTAGATTACAATTTTTTTATAAGGTAGATACACTTCTAGTTGTATTCCAATCTATTATATTAAAAAATATACAATACAATTATTTTTTTAATGTAGTTTATTATAATATTAACAATAATATAATTGTATCATTAATTTTTGAGAATTTCTTAATGACATAACATATGTTTAATATGTTGGCCTATCTTATCAATCGTTGCAAATATATAATAGTGCAAATATATAATAGTAAATGCTCAGGATAAAAATCTGAAATCGATTCGATTGCTTTAAAATTATTCATGTATAGACAATATGAATTTTCGAAATCTAACAAATATCTAACATTTAATACTTAATTAACACAACGCATGAGTATTTCTAAAGAGCGACTAATAAAATGACCCTATTTAGATTTGTTTGGAAATGTCTTTTTCAATTGTTTTTCGCAGATATACATGACACCATACAGATATATCAAAATTACGAGAAATCCAACATGTGTAATAACAAATCTCGACTGTATGTCGAAAGTTATTTACGTATAAATTCATTATTTTATTTTTCACTTTTGCTTTATATTAAACATTATTATTGTATATACAAATGTTATATATTCCTCAAGTATTATTTTCTGAAATATTATAAGAAGGAAGTTAAAATATTGAATATAGAATTGAAGATCTTATACCTTTAGAAATTTATAAACAGAAGTGAAGTCTCTAAAGTTAAAATTAATTTTTGGTTGATGTTATATTATAATATCTTTATGTTCATATCGATGGCATTTTCTAGTAAAATTTAATTAAATGTAACTATATATGAAATATTCATATGAAATAACCATATTATCTTAAACAGAAGTAATTGGCAAAATATTTTTTTGTAATTTATTTGACCGTAATATCAATTCAGAATGTGCAGAATCAATTTTTTAAAACAAATATAGAAGTATACATATAAAAAATATATAGAATTATACGTAAAAAATATTTATAAATAATATAAATGATGCAAAAGCTAATATATAATATGCATCTATATATTCAAATGAGATGCAATTTTGATATGCAGTATTATTTAATAACTTTGATCATTGCCTTCCAATAATACAAATTTCTTATTAGCTGGTTCATTCATAAAAGTTTCAAAATATTAAAGAATTTGATTTTCCAATATATATATATAAATTATAAGGATAACTTATTGTGAGAAAAAGAAAGAGATTAATTAAAAAATAGTTTTTTTAAGAATTCACAGTTTCAAAGTCCCACAATCATGGTACGAAATAAATTAAAAAGCCTTAGACTAACAATAACAACAAGTTGCATAGTACACGACATTGCCTAAAAGTATCAATTCATTTATTTTCTTGAAAAGATCTACTATTTGTAACAGTAAAACGTTAGATAATTTCTTCCTAGTCTAGGTAAGAATGGTTTTTAATGTAAGAGATAGTTTTTTCTTTTTGATTGATAAAAATTTATTTAGAATAGCCCAATTGTACATGGCACAAAATGATTATATATACACTTTAATAATAGTTTTTATTTTTATATAACTGAAGAGTATTCACACGAACATAATTTTACGAGCGCAATTCGCGGAGCGGTACTATGGCATCTATATATGGAAGAATCTTATTGTATCAATGTATTATACGTGTATATAAAAATATTTCATACCTGTAATTGTATGTATAAAATACATAATAAATGTCATATATAATATTATACACTTGCAAACAACAATTTATTTCTTTTTAAATGCTAGAATGATTAAAGTTATTTATATATATATTTTAATTAACATTCTGGGTTTTAAAGAGATTATTCAAAATTGATAATTATCTGTAAGAAATATCTGTTACTTAAAAAAATGGGATATACATTCAATTAATGTTTCAAAAACTTACATCATTATTAAGTAATGATTACATGATTAATTGTAAAATTTATATTGATTATATTTTCTCTTTCTTTTACTAGCCTATCTATTTTTTATAAGATAATCTTACGCATATTTCTTATATTCATTTTAATAATGATGCAACATAAATTTTTTCAGAAAATTAAATTATTGATATATAAATATTTAATTAATATTTAATTACTCATTCTTCATGCTACTCGAAAAATTAAAACTAATTTGAATGTAGTTCATATTGGATTCAACTGTATTTAGTTCGATTGAGAAACTGCATTTCTTATTCAGAAATTTGAATTGAGCAATATTCACAATGCACAGAAAAAATTATAAAATATTATTTTTTGAATGGTATAGAATCGTGCTTCATGCAATTCCTATGAACGAATAAAAATATAATTAGATTAAGGATTTATTCTTCTATTAATGTTCGTGAATATGCACATATTTCTGAAAATTTAAATATATTTCAATCTATTTCAATCCAATCTCGTTTATAATACGAATGTGTTATCAGTTATAGACAGAACATGTATATTAGTCATGTATATTACATGTCAATATTTACTTCTTGTACAAGATTTACTTTCAATATTCTTCGACCTTCTATAATCAGTTTTGAAAAGATAAATGATTTTTCAAATACATTTAATATTAAGTGATCCGCGGTATAGAACGAACGAAACAAAAATGACGGTCTATTATCGAGAGTGGTTAGAGAGGCATTGCAAAGAAAAAGAAGCTCTTGTTTATTTTTCAATAATAACATGTGCATATTGCGACAAAGTTTTTATAAAAAGTGAGAAGAATTACACAAGAAAATTTATAAAACACTTATACGACTATCATGGATTAACAGAATTAGATGGCCATTCAAGATGTACAGAATTAAAGGAAAAATTTGAAATAATACAGTGTTACGTTGGAGTATGTAAAGAACAAATGTGTAAATTACAAATTGTATTTTTTCGTGGTGTGCACCTCTTACAAAACCATTTGGAAATATATCACGGGAACAGATCAAGTATATATAAAAATGTAATAAGACAAAACATGACAGCACAACATATTTTGTTAAATAATTACTTCATAACAAGCGACAGTAAGGCGCAGTGTCTAATTTGTAAGAAGAAGGTAAACTTAAGCAATTTGGAATTACAGACTGAAGAAACACTCAATACATTAAAAACTCATTGGGCCATGCATTTTAAGTATGATATGAATTTTTTTTTATCGATTTTGTTTTATTTGTTTTAATTATAACCCAAAAATAGAGATGATATTACTATTAGAAATGTAACACACATATCTTCATAAAATTACAAACTGTTATTATATACATAATCCTTTAACATTATAAAGTATACAGACAAATATTTCTGGAAGTAAAGAAGAATAGAATTTTGAACTAATTAAAAATTAATTTCCAATTTTGGCTTTACTATAATTATTTAGTTATTAACGATTAAATTGAACAATCAAGTTACACTCAAAGGAATATGTAGAAGAAGCATATACTATGAAACTCCTGGCGCTATACATTGTATACAAAATAAAATTGTATTCTCTCGAATACAATTTTATTTTAATTTTTCATTTTTATAAATAAATAAATAAATAAATCGATAAATGAATAAATAAATAATAGAGAAATAATGATCTGAGAAAATTGGGAAAGAAACTTTTAGTTTAAAATTCCATTCTCTTTGACTCTCAGAAATATTAATTAATTAATAATTACGGAATGCCCTGTATAGAAGTATTCTTACATAGAGAAATTATGTTCGGCACAATTTCCTTAATTTAGCGATTATTTTATCAAACTTATTAGGCAGTATGATTTGCTAATTTTGAATGCTACATTTTAAAAACTATTGTAATCTTATCATTTTAGTATTAGATTTTTCGTTTCAAAATTATCTCAGGAATCTAAATTTATAAGTGATGTCACAGGATATACAAAACTTTTTGAAAATCCTGTGACATCACTTATAAATTTAGATTCCTGAGATAATTTTGAAACGAAAAATCTAATACTAAAATGATAAGATTACAATAGTTTTTAAAATGTAGCATTCAAAATTAGCAAATCATACTGCCTAATAAGTTTGATAAAATAATCGCTAAATTAAGGAAATTGTGCCGAACATAATTTCTCTATGTAAGAATACTTCTATACAGGGCATTCCGTAATTATTGTGTATTTTTTATTAATATTGTGATTGTTACAATTAATATTAGTTATAAAATAATTATTAATTATTGATTTAAATAATTATTAATTTTTTTTTAAATCTAATTATTATCTTACTTTAATATTATAAAATAACAATATTAAAATAACGATATTAAAAAATAACGAATCGATATTATAATTAATATGATTAATAATTTTTTAATGCATTCTGTGTCGGTCACCGATGATTATTACGCGATGTGATATCATTTAAAAATGAGATAGTACTGAAAGTGTAAATGTAATTTGCTGATACAAAATCAAAATTAATTCATATTATACAATGTACGGATTTTCACAGAATGATGCAATTAGATGAAGTATATCAATTAGAACAACTTCAACAAGAAGAAGATAAGAACATTATTAAAAAAGAATTTCGGTTACCTGATGCAGGAAAAATCAGACACTACTTTGAGTTCACATCAGCAGAAATAGAAAAATTAAGAAACTTTGACAAGATAATAGAAGAAGTCGTTGACTGTGTAGAGTATATTAAAATAATAATAACATTTAAAATATGGGAAATAACAAATTCGGAGAAAATATGTATATGTTGTTTAAGAAAAATGTTTGATGGCCGTACTCATATTATAAGAAATCATTGGGAATTATATCATGGACTGTTTTCTCTGACATATAAAGAAATAATAGATATAAAAATAGTACGTGATATATTGGATCAGTACATCATAATGAGTAACATATTGGTGTGCTTCAACTGTAAAGACGTATTCGAAGTGAAAGCTTTGCTATTAAACGTTGAAGAACAGCTGATTATTTTACTTAAACACTGGCACATACATATTGGGTAAAACAGTATTTTTTCTATTTGTCAAAAGGCAATATTACGACTAGAATTACATATTATGATAACCAGATATTTCGTTTTTTTCATCAAAATTGTTTAGCTTGCAGCAAAATGCATTCTATCATATATGATATTCATCTTGTTGATATAATTAAAATATTTTTCTCTTAATGACGCAGGATATCTTCAGATGATCAAATAAAACAAGAGGAACATCTACGAGAAGAATTTAGACGAAAACTAAATACAGAAGAAGAATTAGACGATATGTTGGAAAATTCTGGAAGGGATGATCAAGGGCAACAAAGTAGCGACCGTGATGAGTAACTTTATTTTTCTTATATTATATAGTACGACACACACACGCGCAGAGAGAGAAAGAGAGAGAGAGAGAGAGAGAGAGAGAGAGAGAGATAAATTTCAAAATTATATATTAATTTTCCAATACAAATATAACTTATATTATTTATATACAAAAACATTATTCAATATAATAAAAAAATTAAAATTAATTCACTTTTACATAATGTATTACGATGATTTTTATAGAAATACTACAGAACAACTAGAGGAATTACATCCACAAATACAACAATGGTTTTATGAGCAATATATAAAACAAATAACGGAACAGGAAGCGAATAATATAGATATTCAAAAAGATACGCACAAAGAAAAAGAAAAAAATCTTAGAAAAATTGATGAATTACTGGAAAAATATTATATAAGGCCTGTACAGGATGAACGGCTAAAATGTTTAAAATGTAATATTATTGTTAGGGATAAAATTTATAATAAAAGGTGTTTCTATCTTGTACGAAACCATTTTGAAATATATCACGGGAAATTAAATTACATATATAAAAAAATAGACAAAATATTAGAAGGATACAGAATAACAAACAACATAACGTGGTGCACCGTATGTTCGGCAAATTTGGATATGGGAATGAACGTGGAAACCACTTCAGGAAAAGTGGTTGCATTATTTTTGCACTGGATGATATATCATTCATAGTAAGACAAAAAGCATTTTATATTTATCAAAATTGATGAAAATAAATTTTATTTTAATTGTTTTTATCCAACAATTTAAATTCATAACAATTCGAAAACTAAATCAATAATTGTAATCATATATTTTTAATCAAAATTACAAATTGTTATATGTATAAATACCCTGATGATCATATAGATGTTTTTGTATAGGAAAGCAATTTTTTTAGCTATTATTTTATCATACATAAATATAAAACATTTTATTATGATTTTTTATTATTTATTTTATCTGTATTAAAGGAATCTTAAACCATAAAAAAATATTATAAGTATTAATAAAATAGAAACATAATTATAATCTCAATAAACACAATTCTTACACAATTCAATCTGTGTGTTGCTATTAATATAATTAGAATATTTTTTTAGTGATAAATATGTTAAACCACGAAAAAAAAAGAAAAAAGATTTACAAATTGGTCAATTATGTGAACTGAATTGGAAGATGCTAGAACATAATGCAAAGCAAAAACATAAAAATAAAATTATTACAAGTTCAGACAGACAATTAGTTGAAAATCAGGAAGAACATGAGTAATATTATTTATTTTTCTTATATTAGATAATATACACAGATTTAAGAATTATACATAATATAATAATTTTCCAAGTTTCCAATATAAGTATATTTTATATTATGTTAAAAAACGTGATATTTATTGTTTTTTATGTTACTATTATTATTTATCTATTTACTTATAACCCAATAAGCGTGGAATGGATTAAAAATGAATTGAAATTTTATCTATTCGAATTCAACTCGATTCAATCGGAGTGAAAAACTACTTTTCCTATTTAGATTTGAGCAATGTACACTTAAAAAAAAAGCTGATATTTTAAAATTAAAACATAGGAATGTATTTCATGCAATTTCTATAAATGAATAAAAATGTATTGAAATTAAAAATGTTTCATTTCAACATTCATAAATGCTTACTTCTGAAAATCTGAATTCATTTCAATCAATTTTAACCTATTCTCGTTGATTAACGTGCATGCTTGTAATTTAAAATATTTAATATTTTATCACATTTTTTATTTTTTAAACGATACATAATAATTTGTATTTTTAAATGATGTACAAAAACAGTCCTGGATCGAATACTTCGACAGACGCTATAACTGAACCATCAGAACAAAGTGGATCGAGTACTTCGACAAACGCTATAATTGAACCATCAGAACAAAGTGGATCGAGTACTTCGACAAACGCTATAACTGAACCATCAGAACAAAGTGGATCGAGTATTTCGATAGACGCTACGACTGAGCCATCAGAACAAAGTGAATCGAGTATTTCGATAGACTCTGGGGCTGATTATAAATATACGATCAACTTTACTCTGCCATCAAGACAAAGTGGAGAACGACAAAGTACTTCAGCGCAGAATCCGTCTAAGTCAGATTCTTCGAATGAATCACCACCACCCAAACAAAAGAAAAAAGAAACAAGCGATAATACTGGTAATTATTTTTTTTTTATATCACACAAGTTTATACCACGTAAAGTTAAATTCTATGAATTATACGAAATATCTAATAATAAGGATAACACTTCTAGCCAAATAATATAAGTTAAATTAAATCGGAAATTCTTAATCTATCATTTTGCGAATTTCACAATAATAATTAACAGAATATTAAATATAATAATAGAAATCGAAAATATCATTTTTTAAATCTTACTTAATCTTACAAGAATCAGGACCGCCGCTAATGTATTACTATATACCTGAACATAAGTAATTAGTGTTATTAAAATATTTTTCCAAATTAATTTACTAAGATATATATATTCATATATTTATCATTTTTTACAGATTCATCTGAATTAAACTGAATATTTAAACAGCATGAGTTGCGACATAACTATCGAAGTATACGAACAAATGGCATCTCCATATTTGACTGCAAGGGGATTTGTCAGAAAGAGAAACAACTTTAAAACAATTCTCTATTAAGCGATTATCGTAATTGTACGAAAATATTTTAACGTTTTAAAATTTAGATAAATCAAAGGAAATCATATCATTTTTACAAATTTGTATATTAAAAAAAAATATATTCTTTTCATATGAGATTGACGTAGACGTATATCGGTATTGATTTAACAAACATAGATGATAAAGCGTCCAAAAAAATTTTATTATATAGTATTATATAGTAGTTAATATTTTTTCAAAATTAATATGCTGTTAACATTAATTGTCTGACAAGGGGAACATCAGATGATGGCATCGAGGTTTTTGATGCGCTTTTTAAAAGCGCTATTCTTTAAAAGCGAAAAAAAACGATACATGTCCGGCTATTTCATTGGCCCATAATTTCGAAGAAATCGATTTTTTAAATAATTATTTTAATCATTTGAAATACGTACTATATAAATGAAAATATCAGTATTTTTATAAATTTTATTTATTGTTATTAGTTTTAATTACTTTTTGATTGTAATGAATTTCATGAAATTTCATATTAGTATTGTAGATAATAATTAAATATTCATTTATGGAATATTTATTATTATCATTGTTATCGTCATTGTTATTATTCACGTGAACGTATAAATATTCATTATTCGTACAATGTACGTCTATAAAACACGATTAGTTTTCAATTATTATTAATAAATCGATTAATATTAATCAAAAGAAGATTATAAACATATGACTCACTTGTTCCTAATCATAATTTCCAATTTTTAATTTCATCGGAAACCGTAACAGTTTTCATTACAATCTTATTTATGCGTTATCATGTAAATAACATGATCGACGATGACGATAATAATAAATATTTCATAAATGTGTGTTTAATTATCTATAATACTAATATGTAATTTCATGAAATTTCATTACAATCAAAAATTAATTAAAATTAATAATATTAAATAAAATTTATAAAAATATTAATATTTTCATTCATTTATACAGTACATTTTTCAAATTATTACAATAATTATTTAAAAAATCAATTTCTTCGAAATTATGGACCAATGGCTGAAATGGCCGGACATCGTTTTTTTTCCGCTTAAGAACAGCCTGTAAAAAGCGCATCAAAATCCCAGAAACCTGGTGTTTGCCTAAGACATTTTTATTAATAATCGAAAAATATGGAATACATCAGTATTATTGATAACAATAAATACTAATTTGCGTTATTGAAATTAATAATATAAATTTTATTCCGAAAGCAAAGATTTTTAGATAAATATTGATTAAATATTTTTTATTTCTCTCTACTTTATTACTATTAGGATATTAAATATATATAATACATTTAACATTTCCGATATTATGACATGTAATAAATAATTGATAGTATAAGTTGTATACTATTGTACGCAAATCCATGTGCGCATATGTTTATTAATAAAGGCAACGCATTTTTAAAATATCGTTATTTATTTAATCAATTCATTAATCAATTCGTTAATCAATTTATTTAATTAATTTCATTTATTAATTAATTCAATTTATAATTAAAATAAGGTAGATGTTTTTTTCTGTGATAAATGTTTATTTATTTTTTCCTCTGTCGTGTGATGATTAACATTAAAATTACACAAATTAACACAATGAAGAATCAATTTTCTCGAATTTAAAAGTGAAAAAAGCAGTTTTTAATTAATTCATGTCTATTAAAATATACGCAGTAAAGTTTTTTCTACATTATGTATTATATATTTATCTTTAAAAAAGATATAAAAATAAATTAACTAATTAACTTAAACATTTATTAAACAATAATAATCCAATCAAAGGAAAATTTATATTAATTTTATCCCTTTAATTAAATTTTTTTATTTTTTATGTATGATCACTGACAGGAAATCTTTCAAATTACTGTATAATAAATTAATATTATGTATAAATAGAGAATTATGGTAAGTTAAAAAAATAATCAAATCTGCTTTATATTTTTTTAATTTATTGGAAATAGACTCATATAACTTAGATTAAAAGTTCTTAGATAATAATCCATCGTTCTTCGTCAATCTTACGATACAATCATCGGATTCTCCCTATGAACATAAAATTAGGACAAGACTTCAGAGATTAATACAAATTTATATCACAATATTGACAATGTTAAAATTTATTGTAGAAATATTACGTCAATTAAATAGTATAATTTTGTATTATGTGAAGTATTTTAAGGAATTAATTATATAAATTGAGAAATTAATTATATAATATATACATATATAAGTAACTTAATTAAACTTACCATTCGACGAATTGCTCCACAGATTGCATACATCTTGTGAGTATCGGTCATGCGACCTGTTTCTGGGTCAACGTCAGCCAAAGTCAACTGTATAGATGCATGATCTTTGGCATGGATGATACGATTACTCGCTGAACTACAACAGAAAAAAATCAGATTTAAATCAATTCTTTCCAAAAAAAATAGATACATCTTGTACATCTTTCTAAAATTCTTCTGTCTATATATATATTTTTTTTTTGCTTCAAATGTGAGATTACAAGAACCAAACAGATAAAAGAAGTTGATCCATGTGGCTGAAATAGATTTATAAGATCTGGGTCTCTATTCTCGAAAAGAAACATGTATGAAAAACTAGGGAATTTAACAAATCTATCCACAAGTTAATAAGAAAATAAAAAATTGGGCCTTTAAGTATAATAAGTGTACACAATTCAGCCACAAAGAGTAGATCTATAGATTTATATGGAGTCACCTAACCTCACTTGCAAATCACTGCTTATTTATCGCCCACGCTACGGTCAATCTTACTGAATAAAAATATCTGCGTAGCGAATTTGATTCATCATCTAGACACAAAGTTCTCGTGTTCGGTGCAAAGTTTGTGAGAATTATCGGTAACCCACGTGTATTTGAGTCTTACCATTTTCGAGGGATGTACAAGTCGACTAGGTTACCCAAATCGTTCTCCATTTTTCTTTACAGCTGCAATAACACTGTAAAATAGTAGATTAATGTGCTATTTAGGCAAGCAGAACGCGGCAGCATTAATTTTTTTAGTAAATACTTGTCATACTTACAATTTGCACGTCGATCGCTCAAAAAGGTTGCGGAATGAAAGAATGAAAGGAGGATTAGAATGGAATATGGAATTAATGGATATGGAACGATGGAACATGGATATTTCATTTGTGCATACGATAAATTTTTCAAGCCTGTTGATTGGTTATAAGATAGATTGATCCGAGAACTTCTCTGTCCTGCACACATTTATCGTACGACAAAAACGCACAAATGAAATAGTACCTGAACTCTGCGACTGTGTGCGTCGAATAGTAATAATCTGAAGTCTGGGGCTCGATTATGTATTTCGAAATGAGGTGAAAATTATAAAAGTGAGCAATGATTACTAGGTATTGATCAATTAAATTATGAATATTCTAGTAATGAATGGATATTAATATTCTTCTACTTATTAATATTCTTCTACTTATGAATATTCTAGAATTTGTTCATTTTTGTAATTTTCACCTCACTTCAAGATACACAATCGACTTCCTAAACAATCTGTTCCTTGTCAACCGTATGTTACACTTTCTGTATTTATAAAGAAGCGCACAAATGCGCAATGATAATACATTTTTCGAATAAATATTTATCACTATAGTTTTATTAATTTTATCATGAAATTTTTATTTTACTAAAAAATTAATTTATCTATACACAAATCGTAATTACATTCAAAGAGAGGAAGGAACATATCGATTTTAATTAAATATATAATAATCCATCTTACTATATTTTGAAAGTTATTAAATTAATTATCTCGCATTCTGTTATTTGAATCTCTAATCAAATTTGAAATTCATCAATACTTATATGCAGTATATGTATATTATAGATCTACTATATATCTACTATATATCTACTATATGTTGCTGGTACTTTTTACACTCATCAGAATCTCCGCTTTCTTTTTTCAAATATCTATTTAATCTCGTTTTAAGTACAAACTTTTTGGGAAATTCAAACAAATAATCTATTATTCGCCATTTCGCCTAAAACATTTCGATACCACGCATGCGCGAGGTGAGACGATCTTGGAAATTATTGTATTCGTGCATTTCCCGTTCTGTCGCAGGCTCGCAGCATACCTCCCCCACCCCTTCTCTTCCCACCCCCCTCCTTCACTCATCCGATACTCTCGCAGCGTCGACACCGTGCGCCCCGTCTATTCACAATTGTTCGCGGCTACGTGCTATATGTTTATGCGCGATTCGTCGACCGACGACTCGATGATGACGCTCACCGGCCGTCGCGCGCGTACAGGCGGAACATCCTGGCGAGAGCGGTGCTTCAAAACGAGCCACGTTTAGTGGCTCGTGTTCAGTAGCGAAGCGCGCTTCGCGCTGGATGGATCGACGGTGATTGTATGTTGCATGAACGCTCGCTCGTCGGCGACGGGACGTGCGATGCGCTTCGGCAGGACTGAACGAATAATTGATCGGGATACGCACGGCAGAGGTTCAACATGTCCATGAAGGTGAGTGCACGGAGAAACGCCGAGATTCAGCGCGGATGTATCCTCCCCCGCGAGAGATGTTCCTCCCTCAATCTCCCTGGACGTTTGTCTTTTGTTCCTTTAGATTCGATAAACTTTAGAGTGATTTTGGGACACTCGTGTTCTTCTACATTGTTGTAATGTGATAATTTTGTAGATATAGAATAATCTTGTTGTTAGAAGACAAATCAAATAACACGCTTCGTCATCCTTTCGTATTGTTCGAAATTAAGAGCAGCTTTTTTTGGAAAGTGAATTTGAGATTTGGTAATTGATATTTTTTATTGTTTGAGACATTCGTTCTCTTGGCGATTTGCGTATAAAACAAATGTTAATATTATTTATTAATTTATAAATATTTACTAATTTATTTACTTATTTAATTTGCTCAATCAAATTCGCTGTCTTGTGAACAGGATCTTTGCGGCCCGTGTCAAATTATTATTATTAAATTTAACTTGATAATAAATTGTATTCGACATAATGCGTTGCGATTTATTTATAATTCATCGAGTACAAATCTACACAATAATCAATAAGCTATATTTTTATCTATAAACTACTTCAAGTATATCTTTGATTCATGTTAAACCAATTAGATGAAATTGAAAAAATATGCATAAATATTTGATCTTCACTTATTTATGAGAAATAATTGTATAGATCGCAAAGACTTAATAATATTTATTATAGTTGTATTCCAAAATTCATTTTCAGTGTCTAAAAAATTTAGGGTTGGGAAAATTGTTTTATAAAAGATAACTGATAAATAATTGCATTGAGAAAAATGTCCTAACTCTACACTGAAAAGAAATATAGTCAATTTATAATATAATAAATATTTTGTTGAATACTACCAACTAAATATTTATTAAATATAAAGATATATTTATTTGATATAAGAAATGTTAATTTGATTTAACAATCATTTTTTTATTGAACAAATATTTACTTACTGTAAGTAAATGTTTAATTGGCAGTATTGAACTAAATATTTATTAAAATTAACTATATTTTTTCTCAGTGTAAATAATATTTCTTGAATAATATTAAGTAAGTAATTAAGTAAATATTTATTTGCAATAAGGAAATGTTTAATCCTATTCAAGAAAATATTAAATTTAGGATTTTTTTTCAGTGTGTGAAAATCTGTAATGCACATAACTAATGTAAACTATCAGTATTTTCAGCACTGACAATGAATTTTGGAACATCGTTTACGATGTGAAGCTTTCTGTATTTTCATTTATTCGCAGATGTATCGTTGCTGTGCTTTTAATCTTCGACGAGTCAATTGTCTTCTCTTCCGAGAGATTGAAAAAGCACAGCTCTTATATCTCTTGTTATACTATTTTTTTCCTTTCAACTGTTGGGAGTCGCGACGATTTGCGTATCTAACAAATGAAAAACTGAAGGTCGCGTATTAAAAGCGCGACAAGAAATACACACGTCTTATCTCTATATATCGCGTGTTATTTCTAGTTCGCAACGAATAGGTGCACACCTGCACGAGCACGATTAAAAACCGAAAGGCGAAGAGCTTTATCGTGCCTGCTGATTCGGACATTTCCGTAGAAAACTGACCGCGAAGATATGACGGTCGATTGTCTGATAGTTTTTTTATTTGGAGATCGATTGTGAATTTTGAAAGGAGGTAAAAATTACAAAAGTGAGCAAATTTACTAAAATATTTATAATTTCATTCATGATATAAGAAAATCAGCTGCACACATTGCACACATAATGAGCACAGCTGAATTTAATTTGCAAATTTCTGATTAGTGACTATAATATATTATCTTTTAAAATTGAGGCCAATTTTTGATTGGTCATAAATGTCGTCGTTACTTTAAACAACTGCGCATTGAAATTGGTTCACTTGGTCTTATCATGATTTCGTCGACTGTATTTAGCAGAAAAAACAGTTTTGCAACTGTTGTAAGATTTTTAACATGAATGACCTTGCTGTTAGTTCTTCATTGGATCTAAATATTTCACGCTCATATTCAGAAAGAATTTTACAATAATTGCAAAGCTACTGAACGTTTGATTTAACCCTAGTAAATTTGTTCAAATTCAAATTATAAAAGTCTATGAATAAATCGATTTATCAAATAAAAGGAGCATAAAAACTAATGCTGGTTCTTCTTGCGAAAAATTATTCTATTATCTAAGTATTAAAATATATACCTATATAATTTAAAATACAAACATTTCGACCTCTATTATTAGGTTATTCTCAGTGTTTAGAATAACAAACGTATGCATGAAAAAAACATTAAAAAAAAATTTGTTCACTTTTGTAATTGTCACCTCATTTTAAAATACATAATTGATTGAATTGACCCCATAGAATCTAGATCGAACGAGCTGGAATACGCGGCGCTGTGCGGCAATAATCCGCTGACAATTGTAATCGCGTAATTATCACAATTTCAACGTACTTGAGTTTAAGCACTGTAAACAGACATTATCAGCGTGATATTGTTCATAACACGCATTACATAATATCGAACAGTATGTAGAGTCGGCTCTAGAGCCGATCGCGTTGCCGACGTCGGCGAGGCATGCTTAATAGCTTGTTCATCATATTTTCCCTATCTGCGTTACGTAAGATTTTTTACACCAGATTGCTCAGATCAGACTATTAAAACTAGTTGATAAATCCGCGATGATCGAGAAATCTGCGACACAGCCTCTTGCTGTAATTTATTTTTCGACGTATATAGAACTAATGAATATAACAATTTAATTACATGTGTATAATTTTTATGTTATGTTTGAACGATAAATATTCAAGAAAGGCTTTTATTTATAATTTTAGATTTTCTTAACTAAAGTATGAAAAATCGGTATTGTAATACTTATTAAATAGGCAGTTTCATAATAATTAATAATGACAATATAGTATTTGAAGTTTTAATATTAGAACATCATAACGTTAAATATAAATGTAAGTATATCTAGAAGAAAAGACGCAAATAGTGACATGAGTGTTATTCTTGGTAGATACATCATTTTGATATTTTAATTAAAGCTTTAATTGTCGGCCATGCGCGCTAATTACGGTCGAGATTGCGGAAAAAAGTGCAGCTCCGCGAAAGCCGTGTTTAGAAATTATTGCCGCTGAACACATCTATTCGATACAAAGATGTGAAATTTTGAGACACACAATAAAGTAGGCACATGTATTAATTTGAATTTCAAAACTGATTTAATTGATGATTACGAATTCATAATAAAACATGAAATAATTTTACTTAATAACTCATTTCAATTTTTGAACAGGTTACATATTTTCTCTCAAAGTTGATGCGCTCCGAATATAATTATGATATTATGTTTAAATTATACATTTATAAATTATTATAGAATACAATTAGAATATCTTTATATCGAGTGAAGAAGATTTGTTTGGATAAAAAACAGTTAGCAGTTTAATGTATGCGAAATTTGAACAATCTAATAATTTCACCTCTTACAAGTAGATGTAATGATCAGTGCTGAATATTTTAGGGATTATATTATTTAATCTTATACTTTGGAATTTTATAACACAAAAATTATCTTTTAATAAGTTTTATAATTATATTCAATAACTTTCTAATAATTTTTGTAATAATTTTTGTAATTATTTAAATATTTATTAATAATTATCCTTTAACACAAAAATTACAAGGCTAAAACTTTCGTTGATACGAGATTTATTTCTCGTGTTCTACATATTCGAAAGAGACATTCCTTGCTGTACTACAGACTCGCCGCAAAATCCTGTAATAAGATTTTTCCGCACCATTGAACATACAGCCCGACGTGTTTTGCAATTTTACGTTTGCGATCCGTGACGAATTTCTAGAATCAGTAAACTACAGGCTAACGGGTACAAAGTTACAGATATCGGGGGCCTACAATCCTATTTTTCTTTCTTGTCTGTGGAATCTTTCGAAATATTTCGAAGTACGAGTTCCATTCAAACATAAATCCGCAGGAACGACGCGTCGAGGACACAGACGTTTATTCCTCGAGAAATCATTCGGAATGTTTTCTCTCTTCATGCAAGAACGTGTTTGCACCGCAAGTCGGATCACTCCATAAACACTCGAAAGCGAAGGTCGACATATTATTTCGATCATCATCGCGATGAAAGACCAACTGAAGTACTCACGCTGGATAACATTTGCGCCGATGAGTTCACCGTTAGAAATCATAAACGAGAGAAATAAAAACCGCCGGATCTACGATCCCGAGAAATATCGATCCCAATGACAACCTCGAACATGAGATTATGGAGAGAACTTCTTTATGGAAGCGCTAAAAATATTTAACGAGCTTTTAGATGATTCCAACAATCTGACGAGCTCACTCATATATTCAGTTACATTCATATTCCATTACATGGCTCATATATTCGAATTCCGATATAGAAATGTTTTTCCATTATTTACATTTAAAAAAACTTGGATATATGTATATGAAAATATTCTTCGATGAGCAATAGTTGAAGAGCCCCTCAACACAACGATTTATTTTATAATAATTTGAATATTATTTTATATTTTTTATTGTATTATATTATATTAATGTCGAAATTGATTGATTTTATATGTATAAAAACATTTAAAATTAACACAATTAAAAAAGAAGTCAAATTCTCTAAAAATCTAAAAAGATTGTAAAAAATTGGGACTATTCAAAATTAATCAAATTTAATTTTTATAGTTTTTCAGAATCTTTTTGTCATTTATTAATATATGTAACTTTTGTAATTAATTTCCACTGTAAAAAGATTTTTAAAGTAAAAAAAATTTGAAAAATGTATATTTCCCTATTTTCCTGTATCGAAACCTTCCAATTTTATATGTCATGATTTTAATTCCAATTATATTTCTTTTATAATTTCAATTATAATTCCAATAAATGTTTGGGACGTAAAAAAATTTTTGTTTTTAACATTTTCTTACGTCGCTCCGATCCGTAATCATGATTTAATCAAGAAATTAGAAATTAGCGTTTTATTAACTTGTTCTTGAACTTTTGGTTCTCGCTTTTTCAGAAAGAGTCGCCTTGGGACGTGGAGCTGCATTTGGCGGCGGCACGCGGGGACGCCAAGCGTCTTCGTGTTTTATTAGATTCTGGACGCGTTCACGTTGATTGCAAGGACAAGGTCAGTACCGTGCAATACCCTCAGTTTCCAAAGTAAGATCTCGTTATCGTAGACATTTCTCAGACACGATTTTTCAAACGATTGGGAGACCTTCGCGGCAACTGAATATTAACTGTTCGTGAGAATTTGGAATAAAAAGAAAATGTTTCGATTTACACGAACATCATAATATTAATCTGTGCTTTCCTGAAATACGATATTCAATTAGATCAGTTTTATCAGCTGAAATCAGTTCATTCAGTCGGTTCATCACAGCTCAAGACAATAAGATTATCGCGTGAGATTGCTGTCGGAAATCGATTAGGCAGGAACTCACGTTTCTGATTACAATAGTCTCGCGATAGATCAACGATATCTCAGCAAAAACGCGATTTACCGGCTATTTTCTCTCCTCGACTCATTATGCAAATGACAAGGAGCGAGCAGCACGTAACGTTACTCTTCTCTGCGCGTCTTGAAAGTGGTTTATTAGATCAACGCGGACACTAATTGTACTACTTTTCGACTTGGGGAAACCGAACACGTTTTATCGACGTCTATATTTTTGCAAACTCATCTACGTGGAATTGTGTCAGTGTCAAGGTTGAATCAAATTACCATATGTTTGTTTAGTCAACAAGGAAATTAATTAATAATACTTCTTGTCATTCACGATTCTTTTTTATTAGAAATACCGATCAACATTTTGCGAAACTTTGTATTACTTGTCAATATTTTTAGACATTGAGTGACACAAGTCGACACAAGTGTCGTACTATCATTATTACTCTTTAAATAAAGAAAAATAGAACGATATTTGTATCGACTTATGTCACTAAATGGAAAACATCTATTGATAGATAGCAATTTTATGCACAAATTGTTACTTTTTGTCAGGATACTGTGACTATATTTGCATATGTACAGTTTTAATATACAAAATAATTAAAGTTTTATATTTTCCTTAATCGTTGTAGATTAGATTTTTAAATTATAAAAAGATAAAGTGTTCGTAACAATGCATACATGTAAATTCTTTGCTTGGGACAGTTTGACCCATATGTGGCAAACTGGAATTAATACAAGTGTGCTAATTGCACTAGTGGTCTTCTAATCATTAGAACATTTAGCGCGAATCTTAATAGCTCATAAGAGGATTGATTAGAAAATATTCACCGGCATACATTCGTCGACATTTGGCGTTCACCGGCGGGAAAGTTTCGCGTCTAATTAAATTGTCGGAGCGAAGTTTTGCAAAACGAGGTCGATTTTCTTTCAGGACGGCACGACACCTTTGATATTAGCCGCCGCTGGTGGCCACATGGATGCCGTGACCGAGCTGTTGCATCAAGGGGCGGATCCCAATGTCAAAAGGCTGGTAAGTTCTGACCCTGTGTCAAAGATCAAGTGTATCCGTAAATGAATGATATCCTTGTGGAATGAATGAAAACCTAATGGTAATAACAGAGATAACTCGTACGCGCCCACGTTAATTAAATGGCTAAAATCCTTAGGATATTACAATATTAGCGTATTACAAGACGTTAAATTAGAAAATAGTCTTTGCTTTTATTTATATATATATATATATATTGGAGAGAAGTAATACTTAAGTATATATGTACAATAGATCAATTTGACATTTGTTAATTTTTCAATTTTCACTTGCTCGCAAGGCAATTATAAGTAAGAAAGTTATCGGATTTTTATCTCTGCGTCTTACAGTTTATCTCTTACTAATAACGAGCTCGTGTAAGATCGATCAATGAGATAAGCGATATTTTGAGAATTTTTTTATAAAGCGAATTCAAATGTACTGATACTCACTGCTGCATATTAAAATTGTTGTACATTGATTTAATTTGAATATAAAAGTTAAATGTGAATATTTTAAATTATAAAATACATATTTTATCTAACAGCATAATAAAGTATATTGAAGATTTCGCAATTTGTTCCCTTTCTATACGGAAAAAATAAAGTATTTTTGCTGAAGTATCTAAAAATTTAACTAAATAATGAAAATAATTACTGAATACAATTTTGTTGACCACCTAAATAATTACGTAGCAACCTCAAGCATGAGCAATGCTGCAAAAAGTTTTAACATTCTAGTTAGAGTACTCTATATAATTATTTTCAGATCTGTCTCTAGCTAAATTTTTAAATATTTTAACAAAACATTTTTACATGTTTACATGAGTTGTCTACGACAATTTTGATGCATACTATTGCACATTGAGTGCGTCCAATCGAATTCGCTATTCTTCGCTTACTTCGTGTACGAACTTATCATTATCTACGAAAATATCATCGAGAAACGTAGCGTGTAACTTAACTCTTTTTAATCGTCACACAAAATATCGTTTATAATTGTAACCACGATCGTAAAACAGTTATAACGAAGTATGAATAATACATTAATTATATGTATGTAATTATTGTTTTATTTTTTTTTTCTATACGTACGTTATTATATTTAATTCTCAGAAATAAGGTAGAAAAATGTATTATTATACGTCTTCAGAATTGTGCGTTTTTTATTTATTCTCTTTTAGATATTAACATTAATAACCGTGATAAAATTGGCATCGAGTATTACAGTCGTGAGACTATCTACCGATTGCAATTTAATTGCCGCCATAAAATAGATCTCAATTATTTAATTATGTTCGATTAAAAGATATGTAATAAAGGGATATGTAATAGAGAGATGCGGAATGTATCATAATAGTTACTTCGTAATAATAGTTTCAGGAAACGTTCCGTATCAATCTTAAAATAGTTTTCTCGCAATGAAGACATTATTTTCCATGATTTCTTAAATATTTTATAATATATATAT